TGCCATGCTTGGGAAGGGACCATGCAGGGACAGCCTGCACAGCAAACACCTGGCCCTGAAGAGATGAGTACCCATATTGCTCCCAACACACTCTCCACGCACACAGAGGGCAGCCCAAAACATCCTCTACCTTCTGGTGCTCCTCGATGGCTCTGAAGCTGGGGGATTTCATGTGGTGACCCCAGCAACCCAGCCAGTCGTTGCTTCCTACAGGAAAAATGAAAAAGTCCATAACTGAGTAACGTGCCACCTACAACGCTCTCCCAGCCCACAAGCACACCATCTCCTGGGGCTAACAGGAGTGTGCCAGGGATGCTGCACAGCACTAGCACAAAGCACTCGTGCTGGCTACTGTGAAGCTGTCAAACCAAAGGCTGTAAGTGAGATCCTGTTAACCAGGTGGCTTATATCCTTGCAAACATGACTGTTGCAGGGATCTGGGCAGACACGGGGTCAAAGAAATGGCTTTAGTTCCCCAACACCCCGACTTCTCTGCTTTAAAGCACGTGAATGAAGCAGTGTGCAAATCAGAGCTGCACTGCAAAGGAACACATAGGATTGCAAGAATTCCTCGATCTTGCTCTGCCTCGTGTGTCTCACTATAGCCCCAAAATGGTCTGGCACAGATGTCTCCTGATAAGTGCAGGGAAATGACTCTTCAGGGTACAGGGCACAGCTGCAAACGCTCAGTGCTTCTCCTACACGTCTCTTCAGCGAGAAGATCCCAAACTGAAACCCCTCTGGCTCTGGTCAGAGAGCACGGCTTCCTCCTCAGCACATGGGGACATGGGACAGCGTTGCTGGGAGTGGCACCACATCACTGCCATCCTCCTTGGAGTGGCAGCACCATCTAGAGGCACAGCTCAAACAAGCTGGAGCACAGCTCTGCTGCCTCACATGCTGCCTCAGCTCCTGACAACCCAGGATTAAGTCCTTGTGGTCCACGCCAGGGACAAGCCAAGAGGCTGATGAGGCCCTGCCAAGGGCCCACAGAACTCGGATACCGTGGGTCAGACAGGCAGAAACAGGAATGCAGCATCCTGCAGTGCCAAGCCCGTTATCACTCCGGCTCTGCTCTTTGCAGGCCCATGGGTTGGAGACAAGGGAGGACACAAGGTGTGGGACACTGTCAGCCTCCCACAACTTACTTTTGCTGACTCTGAAGTGGGACCTGCCAACGGTTTGCTTCACTATGTTCGGCGTGACTGCGCACATTTTCCATCGCAGCAGCTTCCTCTGCTCCCAAGGCAGCTTTTCCACTAGAAAGGTAAAAAAATAAGGACAGAAGGAAAAGAAATTTTTCTATACCCGCACCCAGGGAAATTCTTATCATTTGCTGCACAGGCACCATGATTGCAGAGGAGGGCAGGTAAGCCCCCTTCACAGAACTAGCAGAGAGCAGATAACTCCACAGCTCGGGGAGATCCAGGACGCTAGAAGATGTAGGGGCAGCCTGACTCGCCCCTTGCTGCGGGAGCAGCTAGCATTTTTTACTTCAGCCCTTTGGATCCCACAGAGGTGCTGGGTCTCATCAGGGGAAAGGCGAAGGGCCGTGCACTGGCACCCGTTGCTTGCTAATAACAGGCTGGTCGCTCTCATCCTGCACGGCAGCAGGTCCCAGCTCACCTCTCTCATCCTGAGTACTGAAGTAGATGGTTGGAGGCACGTTGGGGAATAAACTGCAGACAAGAGCTGGTTTGAGCACTTTCTCCTGAGCCTCAGTGGGCTGGGCCAGGCACTTGATGCGGTTCCTAGGAGAGAGGCAGCAGCAGGCGGTTAGCTAAAGGTGTAAAGTAGCACAGGGGGAAAGGGGTAAGCCAGAAGGAGCCTTGTTCCTGGAATTTGCACTGTTGCAGCGTGGTGCAAGAAATGGGCACTAGGACAGTAATCCAACCTGCACCAACAGGAACACCACCAGCACGGATGTGCTTGCAACAAATGCATACGCCAAGTGTTGTAACTCCTGCTGGCTTTGTGTTTTGCCAGGACAAAGGGTGGAGTTTGTTACATTTGCTGGTTACTCTTATAACCTAGTCCACAGGAACCAAAGGCAGAGGTTGTAATGCGTGTATGATTCGCCTGTTGTAACCCTCTTGCTTTTAGTGTGCTGCAGGGAAGAGGGTTGGAGTTTTACCAACCAACCATAGGCACATCTTCTTACCACATCTTCATCCCTAATACCTGGGAGGAAGGGTAAAACTTATACCTGTTAAGGTGATGATGCTAAAAGCAGAGATTGTAATGAACACATGTTCAAATATATAGAACTGCAGTCAGCGGAAGAAGTCACACCAGAGCAATCCACTATGGAACAAAGAACAGCAGAAGAAAGGCAAACACAAGACATTGCCCTCAATCTCCCAGGGCACACCTCACCTCACTGAAGAGGCTGAGTGTAGCCTGCAGCAATGGGGCTGAAAACCAGGACAGGGGAAGAAGTGTTTTCATTAAGACCTTATATACGTATTTCTTTATTTTTATTTACAAAACCAGGATCAGTAATTAGCAGTTTGGTAACTAGCAGTAAATTGTATTGATTAACATTCCCTGGAACAAAACTGGTTTTGCCCACAACAGACTGAAGGCAGGAGACAGCTGCAAAGGCTTCAAGGCCAGCCCAGCATGCGGCCTGCGCAGGGAAGTGGCCAGCACCCCTCCCTCCCCGCCACAGGAGGTATTTGGCCCAAGCGCTGCTTCCCCCCATCTGCCCCCAAAGGCCAACCAGCCACATCCTGCCATAAACAGCTGCTGGTCCAATTTATGTCACACCTCTGCCGGACTTTCACACCCAGAGCCTTGCGGCGCTCCGAAGTTCAACACTTGCTTGCAGGAAGCCTTCCTTACCTCCCAGGAGATTTATGGAATGATGGAAAGCAGCAAGTCGTTGGGATGACAGCAAAGCCTGAGGCGGCCCCAGTGCAAGGGGCAGCACAGCTGCAAGGGGCAGCTTCCATGGCTGGATGGACAAGAACATCTCCCACAGAGGTCTGCCAGGGGTCATGGAGGCAGGGCTCAGATGACCACAGGCTGATCAATGCTCCCTAGAGAGATCTCCTTCCAAAAGCTAATGAAAAACCCAGGCTCTGAGACCTGTTTCTAGGACGCAACGCAAAGATACGAGACCCCACAGAACTTTTGCATTCTCTGGCCCAGGATGTCTCCACTCTCCTTCATCTGAAAGGCAACTAGACTGCAAGAGCACCATTTAATCCAGTAAACCTAACACACCAACTGGCAGTGGCAGTGAAATTAAGACCCCTGTTTTGCAGATACACCCTCAGCACTTTGCAGGTTGTCTCTAGCCAGAGAGGTAGCTTTGGTCTGCAGGGTAGCAAGGAAGCTCATTTTGGTTGGGACGCTCCATTACTCCAATTGCCCACATGCTACACCTCTCCTCTGTCACCAGGGAGGGCAAAGACGGACAAGTTTGGACAAAGATGGACAAGTTCGGACAAAGATGGACAAGTTCAATGCACTATTTACAGGTACTAACCCGGATCCAAGAGCCACAGAGCCACTGGATGACATGCCAGTGACAGAGGAAGCATCGGAGTCACCTGCAGGAGGGAACAGACACACAGTTAGGAAGGGAAGAGAGAAAACAAATGCTCCAGGGGACAGAATCTTTCCTGCTGCCCCGAATCCTTGGATCCTGGATTTTGCTCACTAACTGGCTACATAAAAGGCAGGGCAGGGGTTTAAGCTGATTACCCTACACAGAGAGAAGATTAGTAAGTTTTGGAGCAGATCAGTAGTGACACCTAGCCTGCTCCCCAGAGGAACCCATGCAGTTCCTCCTTGCTGCTACACCACTTCTGGGTTCAGCACAATCTTTAGGTCATCCTGAA